AGCTTCGCCTTGTTCAATAAACATTTGGAGAGTACCTGCCCCCTGCAAGGCCAGGACACTTACAGAAGTTTCCCATGCTCGCCGTGGGCCGTGGGCCCAGGCGCAGGGCTGGGCAGCTCGTTCCCCACAGATGGCTGCTCCATGTCTGGGGGAAGTTAGACAGCTGTCAGAACGGAGTCCTCGGTGAGTGACACTCCTCCGTGAGTGACGCTTCAGGCCCCAGCACACGCCCAGGTCCTCCCCCGGCCCAGCTTCGGGTGGGCTCTCTCCGTGGTGATTGACTGTGGCCCCCTGGACTTTTAAAAGCCAAGGTCGAGAACCAGGGTACCCCTGGGGTAAGGTGCTGCAATTAATCACATGCAAATCAGGCCCGGAGGGGCTTTCCTGAGAAGCACCTGGTTACCCCCCTCCCTGCAGTTTGGGGCTGTTTGGGGAGTCACAGTGGCTGAGAGTACGAGCTCCAGCACTTACCACTAGGTGACCTTTCCACGCCTCAGTCTCCTCAGGACCACACAGAGTAATGTGTTTCTTGTGTCTTTGTAGCTATTTATCTGTGGCCATGTACCTTGATTATAAGATACAAGTGTCATATGGCAGCTTCTAGAAACCTTCCTTAATAGAGCCGGCACCTGGCCTCGGCCCTTTTTTCTGCCTTCCTTTCCCCCATCCTGCTAGAATTCGATGTGGTGGCTGGAACTGGCTCTCTCAGGCCAAGACAAGGGCCACACCCTAGAAAAGGAGGCACAGTGAACTGGAGGTCGCGCGGATTGCTGAGGGCGTCCTGGCTCCGAGCTGCTCTGCCAGCTCTGGGCTATCACTGTGGACGTTTATGTGAGTCTTGTTGAAGCCACTCTAACTTTGGCTCTCCCTTACTCACAGCTAATCCTAATCCCAACTGATACGTCAGGTTTCGACATCAGGGCAAAAGTGGCTTCATAAAATCAGTTGGGAGGCTTTCCATGCTTCTCCATAGCCTGCACCAGTTTTAACAGCAGAGCAGCTGTTTGCCCCCTGGAGCTTTGAAAGAAACCTGCTGTAAAACCATCTGGGTTGGTACCTTTGGTTTTTTGTTTTTTTCCCAATTTCTTCCATAGCCTATCATTTTATTCAGGTAACCTACCTTTGTTTGAGTTACTATGCACTTTATTGAAGTTTGCAAATCTTTTGGCAGGAAAGGTACATGATTTAATATTATAACTTTTTTTGGTTTTTGTTTGCTGCAAAAAGCTTTATTGTTTCCATCTGGTCCCATGCATGGGCGAGGGCTCCAGGGTGGTTAAAAGGAGGCCTGGCGGTGTCAGGGGCAGGCTCAGGCGGGTGTCGCCCGTCGTCTCGATGAGTTTCACCTGCTCACGCAGGAAGCGGTTCTCCAGGAGCCGCGGAGCTGAGGGCCTGTGGGGGCAGAGCCCAGGGTGCAGGCTCTTCCCCAGGGCCACCTCATGCTGGTCTTGCACCTTCAAGAGACTCCCACGCCCTTGACTTCTCGGCCAAGTCAGGGAAGAAGTGACGCGCCCTCCATGACGTCAGGGTGGAAACAAGCCCAGAGAGGTAGGTGTGGGAGGCCGCAGGTGCCAGCGACCAGGCGGTTCACGGCGTCTCTGCCTCGGTGCAGTGATTCTGACGAATCTGGGAGCTCTTGGTCGGCAATCAGGAGTTAAGCTCAGAAAACGGTGTCGGCTGGTCTCAGGATGGCTAAGGTGGTTCCGAAGGTGGTGGCTGGAAAAGAGGTTGGAGGGTGGTCGGAGGCCCTGGGTCTGTTCCATCCAAACGCTGCTGAAGCAAGAGACAGATCCTGGGGACAGCCAAGGGCACTGCTAATATTAGAATTCTGATCGGGCTCCTTTTAATCTTGTTGTTCCTAGTGTTATGTATTTTTTATTTTGTTTGGTTAAAGATACTCCAATTGAATTAGTCTTTTCAAAGTACCAACTGATGGACTTATTTATAAATTCTCCTATAGTGTTTTTGCTTTCAAATGAATTCTTCCTTTTATCATTATTCTTTCCTCTCAATTTTTTCCCCCGACATTTAGTCTGAATGCCTGACTCATTAGTTCTTGTTTTCTCTGGTGTAGTGAGAACATTTAAGGCTATGGATTTGGCTCTGGCTGCAGCGCTGGCCATAGTGCAAAGCTGTCCCCGTACAGTCCGCTCGTTTTCACTAGGTTTAAAAGGGCCTGTAAAAGTTGTTTTGGTTTCCTCCTTGATGAATGTTCTATAATTTACAAGTGCTTAAACTGAATTTGATTTTCCTTTTGGTATTAATTTCTAATTTTATTGCACTACAGGGGAGTATATGGCTTGGGCAATTTCTACTTGTTAAAATTTTATTGAGATTTTCTTTCTTTGTGGCAAAAATATATAATTCCTGAAAATTTTCTATGGATTAAAAAAATATGTATTTTCCGTAAGATATAAAGGAACATGGTAGTGAAAACTTTAGGGAGTCAATGCTCATTTCTTAAATTTGATCTTTTTTATGTATTGGGTTTTGAATTTGGGTTTTCTTAATGCATACTGATGCGGAAACTCTTTCTTTAAATAAGTATTAAAGATTTTATTTTTCTGCTCCTTTCCACTGTGAAGTCTGAGAGCACCCTTTTCTAGGTGTCTCGGGCAGCAGTATGTCTGGGCTACTGGCCCCTCCTCCCCAGGTGGCCCCATCAGTGGCTGCACATCTGCACACAGAAAAGCTTGTCCTTGCCCGGCCGGGCGTGGCTCAGCGGTTGAGCGTTGACCTGGGATCCAGGCGATCAGGGTTCGATTCCTGGTCAGGGCACAGGCCCGGGTTGCGGCCTCGATCAATGACTCTCTCATCATTGATGTTTCTCTCTCTCTCTCTCCCTCTCCTTTCCTCTTTCTGAAATCAATAAAGATATATTTAAAAAAAGAAGAAAAAAAAAAAGCTTGTCCTATTCCTGTCACTTAGGACCCAGAAGCTGTGGTCTTGAAGCGCTCGTCCTCCACCAAGGTGGGAGACAGGGACCCTGAGAAAGGAGTGACATCCCACCTCGTGGGGCCCTGGTCACCAGCCCTGCGTCTCAGGAGCCCTCCTCTCTCGAGCTGCTGCTCCACAGCTGTCACACCGAGCCTCCCACCACAGCAGGGCCTTGTCGAGGGGACCGAACACAGGCCTCTTCTTGGGAGAAGACAGCCAGTGCAGGTCACAGGCAAACCAAGCGTCTTGGTGTCCTCTGCACCCCTTGTCTTGGTCAAGCAGGTGCTCCCCCCAAATCTGGTGAGAGTCTTGAAGGAACAAATTATGTCTTTGCAGTCTCCCAAGTAACTAAATGAAAACCCAAAGTGTGTTTTCTGTATGTTACACAGAAAGCTTTAGTGGGACTGGCTGGGTTTGGGGATGAAACACCCCAGTCAGAATCTTGCCTACGGGCGGGGCCAAGGCATTCCTCTTTCACCAGGACAGTCACAGGAAAGCACAGGGGGGTATCCGGATCCTTGCTGAGTTGTCAATCCTCTTTGCCTTTCCCTCTTTCTTTGGAATGATGTGCTCTAGTGATTTGACCGCATTTCGTGTTAAGCGCAGTTGGATCAGCTTTGATTCTACAAATTAGGGGCCCTTCAGTTTCTGAGTAAAGTCGCATTCTCCAAATAAGCACTTGGAGAGTCTCAGACATTAATAGCTTTTGGTGGGCAGAGTGCAGAACACACGAGCCTGGGACCTACTCTCACCTCCAACTCAGACCCTCATGCATGATTTTTTCCTACTCAGGTGGCTCGTTTTGACAGCCTTGTGGTACAGAATTATTTATATTCAAAGATGGCCTTCCCTTCAGAGAGCATTTTCCAGGCATTTGTTCTGCTTTGCAATTTTTCATCTCCTCTTATTTGAAGTCCCAATGTAAGTGACCTTGGACAAGCTTTACCATGGAAACAGTTACCTTCACAAGTTTTCTTCCACCTTTTTGAAAACCAATTGGGAATTATGGAGAGTGGCTGGTGAAGACTGGCTCAGGACAGGCCCCCATGAACAAGATCACATGCATACCTTGGCTGTGGCTGCCTGTTTCAGTTCCCCCTGTTCCTGGTCCATTTGTGGGATGGGGTCCTGCCTCCAGCGGCTATATCCACCCTGTAACATGACTGCACCTAGCTGCAAGGGAGTCAGAAATAAGTCCCTAGACAAGCGAGTGTAGGTTATGGCAACACAACCCTGTTTCTGAACAAGGAGGGGGAATAGGAGGGATTGTGGGAGAGCCTGGTGATCTGCTACAGCCCAATCACCACTGGCACATAGGGGTAAGTCAGACTCAAGACTCAGGACTTATGAGACCCAATGGGGAAAACTGTCAGGGATCCACCTCCCACCAGCTATCAGAACAGGTGGGCTTGGGACAGGGACTCTGGACAAACTCGGGCATGATGCTTTGGCTCTTTTACATTTTTTAATTTTTTTAAAGAAAATCTTATTTTTATTGGTAAATGCAATAATATGTATAAATTTAAAAATCCCAGAGTTTGGCAACAATTCTTCTTTGGATGTGTGTGTGTGTGTGTGTGTGTGTGTGTGTGTGTGTGTGTATTCTTTTACATTTTATTTCTGATTTACCTCACCATTTTCTCTGGAACTCACAACATGGCTGAGAACTGGAGCCAGGCCCTGTTTCTGCTGGAGCTCTGATGGCCAAAATGTGTTCCTGCCTAAATGGACATTTCCAAAATAATAAACTCATAGTTCAGATTCTCCTTCAACTCCCCTCCTCTCCTCTTGCTCAAATGGGAGAACCTGACAACCCTGAGCCTCCAATAGTAGACACCCCAGTTCCAGCCAAGGCAGTAGCAGGATGGCTGCTGTCCAAGACACCCAAACATCTGAGTTTCCCTTACAACCACCAGTGCAGGTGTCTGGCCAAGATAGGGGAGGGAATGTCCAGCCTGAGGCGCTTGCCTGAGCCCCTCAGGATTGAAGGCAATGATAGAGGTGGCTGGGCTGTGGCTCCTCTTCAGGCAATAGTTACTCCCTAAGGAGAATACTGGTCGTAGTTTATATATCCACAAAATGGGTTTAATAAAGAAATTATATAGCAATACACATCTCAAACCACTTATCAAAATTCTCATTTAGTTTTCTTCATTAAAAATTATCTCTACCTTTGAAATGTCCCAAAAAGCACAGCCTCTTTTTCTGCTACGTTGAAAACATCAAAAGCAGGTCCTTGTTCATGTCACGTGAGCATGAAGAGATCTATGAACTAGGGTGGGTCCTGTGGGAACCAACCTCTCAATGACTGAGTAAGCCGTCTCCCTTTCCCTGGTGAAGCCCTGGGATGAAGCCCTGCCTGAGTGGGCTGTTTGCCCCCAGCCTCACACCACCAGACACTGTCCGGGGACGATGGCCATCAGCCTGAGCAAGCCTTGCCCAAGCCAGTCCAGGCAGAGACTGGCAGGGAAGGCCAGGTAGCACGCAAAGCACAGGGCTTATTTCTGAGGACGTGTTAACTGGACCAATGGCAATGGCAGGACTGGAAGGAAGAAATGGGCTGTAACAGGCTCACCACACACAGTGAACCACAAAGGGGGAGGGGCTAAGGAGAACGTGGCTTCCGGCACGGACCCTGGCTGGAACACAGGTCCCTGGTGGGTTGGAGAGAAGCCAAGTTCATCAAGTCCAGGGCACTGTCCTGCACTGGCCAGTGTAGACAGGTCTTCACCTACCATCCTGGGTATGAGCCTTCTACTGACGGGAACCCACCCAACACTAGGCACGGACATTTGTGCCCCATGACATAAGCTGGCACTGAAGTGCATTCTGGGAATATGGCGGCACATGATTTTACACCAGGTCCTGAGACTTCAGAAATACTTCAGCTGTTGTCACCAAATCGCCTCACTCCTATGGGACGCTCTTCCAGTTTTCTAAAAGTTTTAAAGTTATCATGAAAATGCAAGAGAGCCACAGAGCAGAATGGAATAAATGCCCCATACCTGCAGTGGAGGCCACTGGACACTCCTCCTCGGAGGGCATCGGGCATCGGGCATCTGCAGGCGCCACCAGCAAGGAGCTCCCTGCTGTCCCCAGGACCCCACTTTCCAGCAAGGCTCAAACTGCTGTTACAAGTGTCCGCTCCTAAAGAGCAGCCGGGAAGCGTAAGAAATTTTGCTTTCTGAAATGATCTTGCCAACATTAGGAAATCCCGATGAATTTCGAGGAAAAGGTCTGAAGAGAGGTGCCTGCCGGGAGCAGGAGTCTCGAGGAAACGAGGAGGAAGGTGACTGTGATCTGAGGGCCAGGCCCATGTCTGGTGCAGTCACTGAGAAAGGTGGTCTGTGCAGGCAGCTCCCGGGAAGGGTGCCTGCAGCTGCACCTCCACCTGAGGCTCCCTCCAGGGCTCCCTCCTGGGCTACATCCTGCAGAGCTTCAGCGGGAAGTTCTCCGTGATGAGGTGGTCGCCGTGAAGCAGCACAACGATGTTAACCTCAAATTCTGAGAAGACAAAGGGCAGGCTTCAGCTCACGCCCTGAGCTGCAGACACCAAATGCCAAGCCCTCCGCAGGCCCAGCGCTCTGAGCAGCAAGGGCGCTGGCGCTGTGGGGCTCCTGTATTCCTGTCACCTGTCCATCACCGTGAGCTCCCCCGGGAACCCAGGAGACGGCTGCACTGGAGTCTGACGCCTCCAGCACTTGCTTCTCACCTGGAAACAGGAAGGTATTGGTTTCCCCAACCACTTCCCTAGAATCTTCTGGAACCCTTTCAATGCACTTGCGTACACTCCTTTGCTTTCACATTCCCTACAGTTCTTAATGGAGTGGACTCCAGACCGGCCTACAGCTGTTTGGGTACTTGTGGAAACAACGGTCGGCAAGGCACTTGGTTTACTTGTACCTCTGGATGTTGTGACTTATCTGAAACACCTGCTCGAACGTTTGTCTCTGACCTGTCAGCAGACAGGGTCCCTTCTCCACCAGCTCCTTAGCGGCTACGGGTGAGCTTTGTGGATGAGGGGCAGAACCTGAGCGCCGAGGGCACCACCCTGCTCTCCAGACCCCTGGTGCCTCTGGATTTTGCTCTGTGGGCATATATTACCTATTCCATAATCATAATACGTTTTTTGAGAAAAATCGTGGTACCTTGGCTGGGATGAAATTTGACCAACATCATCTTTCAGGCATTTCTGATGACGTACTCAAGGGGCTCCATAAACATCAAATTGTGCTCTGAGCCCCCCGGCAAGCTGAGCTCCAGGACCCATACCGCACGGAGGCACACAAAGGTCCAGGAAGTGCTCAACTTTGGTGATGAACTGTACTTACTTAAACTTAAATTCCATTATTTGGAACTGTTTATAGTAAAACCAATTATTTTCTCTGGACTAAAAATAACATACCTTAAAAGACTGAGGGGGAATATGACATTAATACAACGCACTGGCTTTAGGGACCGACTCTCCATTTCTCAGAGAATCCGGCCTCACAGCAGAAGCTACCAAACCTCATTACTCTGCTCTACCAGTGAGCCTTGGCCACGAGGCCGAAGCTTGTCCCCAACAAGCCCAGGCTTCAGGATGACTGATGCTCACAGGGACTGTCACATGTGTGGGTCTCCAACGTGACCTCCATGCACAGCATGGCTTGTCCCTTGCTGTGCTAGTTCCCTTCAGTTTACCGTCCCCTGCCCTAGCCCACACTGACATGGTTACTGGCATTTTCCTGGGTAACACCACAAGTGCCTTCAGAGCTGGGACTGCTTGCTGCAGACACCCCACCCCAGCCTGGCAGCTTCTCAAGGAGCTTTCATGGAGTGGCTAAAGGACGAGTGCTGTGAGCTGTGCCTGACCCAAGCAGATCGTGTGTCTGTCCCAGGCACCGGTGGCCCTTTCTGTAGGCCATGGCCATCACACATTCCCGGGCTGTGAGGGCTGGAGCCAGCACTTACCCACTTTGAAGTTGGTGGTCTCCAGTGTAGGGCAGGTGAACAGCCGGGGGAAGACCATGTATATTGGGACTGAGAGGCTCCGGCAAACATCGCCATCGGCAATCTGAATGTTCTGAATCTCTGTGGCATCGCGGGCATACCCTTCTGCGCACCCTGGGGAGGGAGAGAGCACCATGCAGTCAGAAAATAGGAAAACATCCAACAAGCAGATCAGGATGCTTTGTGACTCTGAGAGCCTGCATCGAAGCACTCCCCACTCCCCCTGCTGCTCTCCAGGACTCCTGAGAGTCCCCTTCCCTCCACAGCTCTCTGTCCTCAGTCATTTATTGGGCTCCCACCCACAGGAGGGCAGCGGGTAGGGCCCTTACCACAGGTCTCCACGCGGACCAGCTGCAGCTCTATGCTCTTGACAGCTGCCTCTGAGCTCTCCACCACCAGCTCTCCCGTGAGTGGCTGTGTGATGACGCAGTTGGTCGAGTTCAGATGTCCTCTGATGAGAAATTTGGGAAGCAAAGCTCTCTAAAACCAGACAGACAAAGATATCAGGACTGGAAATGACTCGATAGCCATGTAGGTACAAATAATGTCTGAAGAAGCATTTAAGGACAACTAGTCACACACATGCAAAAAAGTTTTTAAAAGATAGTCAACATAGAAATGTTCTCAATAATACAATTTTGAAAAGTCGACACATTCATTTTACTTCAAGGAAGTGTAGAGAGAGCAGTGCTCTTCAATGCTTGACTGGAAACCTGTGGCCTTTTCCCTGTGGACAGAGGCGACTGGTCCCAGGTGAGGGAGGATGTGAACTTAGGCAACTGCTCTAGGAGCCTTCACCTCTGGCTTGTCCCAGTCACTGAAGACAATTCAGAGTTTAGACCACCACTGTCCAGCAGAAACATAACGCAAGCCAGAAATGTGAACCACATATGTAATTTAATTTTTCCAATAGCCACATTTTAAAAATTAAAAGGAAACAGGTAAAATTAGCCAGTATATCCAAAACATTATCACTTCCCCATATAACCAATATTTAAAATTACAATGTCTACATTCTCTTTCTCATGCTGAGTCTTTGACACCCAGACCTTATGCTGCTCACAGCTCATCTCAGTTCAGACCAGCCGTATCTCAGTGCCAGTGGTCCCAAGCGGCCGGTGGCAGCCCTACTGGACAGCGCTGGTCTGGAACTGAAGAGCAGGGAGCTCTGGACCAGGGGGTCCGGAAGGTAGAGAGCTCAAAAAGTCTTCATTCAAGACAGAGTTCTAAAAATAACTAAAAGTAAAAGCAGCTACTTGTTTAGAAAAGTAGGCAGGAGCAGCAGTCTACATTAAAATCTTTTAAGCAAACGATCAAAAAGCTCTCCAGATCCACCTGAAGACACTCACCAAGCATCCCCTCTCCTCACACCAACATGTTAACACACATAAGTACAAATAACTCTCTCCTGGCAGAGCTATGGACCGCCACCTGAGGCCACCCCAGTGAGACTAGGTGACTGACAACCACGCTCACCAGAGTTCACGGAATGCATCCTACAGCTGGCAGAGCTCTGAAAGCAAGTGTTCCTAGCAGGCCCTGGGCACTGCATCAGTCAGACCAGAGGTGGGGGTGCCCAGGGAAGGGGCAGTCGGTGGGCGCTCACAAGTAATGCATCGGAGGGTGGGAAACTGGCCGGGTGTGGCCTCTGGAGTTAGCGCCTATCCCAGGTGGCCCTTGGCTTCCTTCAAGGGGGACTTTCCACCAAGAAGACTTCCAAAGCACGCTGGGCAAGGCAAGTGTCTCACGTCATTTACGGCCACAGTGTAGGAGTCCCTAGACCCAGAAGACAAGCTACCTGCATACCCTACCCTAAAAGAAAGCCTACAGGGCCAAGGCCGCCTCCTCCTGTACAGCAGTCCAAGTAAGGCTCCTCTGGTCAGAGTGTGTGTTTATACTCAGAACAGATTGTCATTTGGGCTAAGGACAGAGTCTAGTTAACAAGACCTAGATCCTCATATATAAACATAAACTAGTAACCAAGAATCAGTAAACACTTGAGGAAAATAAAAGCAGAAATGGAGGCACTCACTCTATAAACAGAAGACCCACCCCCTAAGCAGCAGCTTCAATACAGGAGACAGAGATGACAGGTGCTGTGTCCACAATAAAAGAAGGGGCCATCTTGAACAAGGAGCCATGCTTAGAAATGAATCTCAGTGTTGTTGAATAAACAATCCAATAGAAGGGCCAAATATTCCCTGACGAGCAAATCAGTGAGCTGGAAGACTGAGCTAAGAGCTTCTCCTGTGCTGCATCCAAGAAATGATAACAGGGAAGTTCCCAGGGCTGAAGGAAGGTTCAGCCTTCAAAATGAATGAGACCACCAATGCCAGGCACACGGACTAAAGCAAGACCCAAACCTGGGCAAGTGCTTTGAAATTTTAGAGCACTAAGGAGGGGAAATGTTGGAAGTTTTGTGGGGGAGGAGGGGTAAGGGAGAGGGAAAAGAAACAGATCAGCTCCCACAAATCTGAGGGCCAGATTGCAGTCAGTATCACTGAGTACTAGAAAACCAGGGAACTATTTTTCAAAGTTCTAAGAGCAAATGATATTAGAACCGGAATTTTCTAGCTAGACTAGGATTCAAGTGTGGGAGCAAAGTAAGATATTTTCCAGACATTCAAGGATTTATGTTCACTCCTCACCCTTTCTGAAAGAATGACTCTAGGATGTATTACAGCTAAACAAAAAATAAATTGAAAAAAGGAGAAAACATAAGCGAGTAGAATCAATGGTGAGCAATGACCATGGTAAAACTTACAGTTAAAGCTAAGGACTGTGACTGTGATACTTCAGGGCCTTTGAGGAACTGGTTTGTAAGCCAATAAAGACTTAACATTAGGAAAAATAAAACTGATGACAAGCTGGAACTTAGATTTCAAACATAACAAACAAGGCGGTGTGATGGGAAGAAAATGCAAAAATGTTGCAAATCTTCTGCCAGAAAGTGCTTATTCTCAATGCTGTTATTTAAATTTATTTCTGTCCATGCATGTTTGAACACTTACAGGTAACAAGTAGAAATGTACAGATAGAATTTTAGAGAAAAAAGGAGCAAACAACACTAAGAACAGAAAAGAAACAAACCCTCACAACCTTAATAAATGAGACTAAAGATGGGAAAAAGAAACAATAAAGTACACCAGAGGGTACAGAACAAGATGTAAGGAATAAAATGTGACAGCTTTCAAAATGAAAAGAATGGGTTACATTCCTCTACTAGAGAGACTGTATTTCAGCAGATCTGGCGAGATGCTGTTTACCAGGGATACCTGCAGTAGCCTGTACCTCTCTGCTCAACGCCTCTTCCTCACTCCAGCTCTCTTACCAGTTTTGTATCATTTAGATTCTTCAGAACTAAGAAATATAAACTTATTCTAAACAACTTAAGAAAAAGTGGGTCTAATTGGGATGCCACTAGGGAGTTCTCAGGGCAAGGTGAGGTCTCAGCAGCAGAGTTGGGGCCCATCTCTACCCACCCACTGTCCCTGTGAGCTTCTCCACTCAAGGTTCAGGTTCCTGCAGGAGAAGAGTCTGATTGGCCCACGGGAGTTGTGTACTCTCCAGAAACTGGAGAAGGCAGGGATGGTAAATGAACTTTCTGAAAGGCTGCCTATGACACAGCCCTGCCTCAGCTGTGGCTCCGAGGGACGAGGCCAGCATCATTCATGTGCCCCAGTCCCAAGCTTGCCTTCAACCTGACTCATCAAGAGCGTCTAGAGAGCAGAATGCGGGCCAGGGCAAGGAAGAAATGCTGTGTGCGTGGATGAGAAGAGGCAGGTGGCCGAGCATAGGTGGTGGGGACTGGTGCTCAGGGAAGAGAGTCTCTAACCACAGTGCAAAACTAGGAGAAGGTGTAAGAAATGAAAAATATTACCAGGTATATAAATATTTCTCAGGTATATCCTTTCAAAGGTAGTAGTCTCCTAAGTAGTTTCTGAGTTTAAAAAGAAATCAAAAGAGAAAACCCAGACTATTTGGGTATAGACGATAACCAGGAATTTCCTCTCGATACCCAAGCAAAGAACAATCAGGCAACAGTCTGTCCGTGGGATCCAATTGCTAAGAAAACATCCCTGGCACTCGGGTGTGAAGACACGTTACCTCTTTGACATTCTGCAAGGTTTCAGGGGTTATGGTGAAGTCCACGGGACTCGGAGTCAGTTTCCCCTTCTGAGGCTGAAACAGGAGGTAAAACCCAAATCAGTGGCCTGAGGGCAAGAGTTCTGCAGGTCAGACTTCTCCTTCCCTTTTACAGAAAAGAAGGGCAGCATATGAATCAGGAGAACCTGGTACGAAGTCAGTATACTGGGGTTCTGAACACAGTTCTGCCAAAAAACAGCGTTGTGTTCTATGTCTAAGTTCTTCCTCCCTGTGACTCAGTTTCCTCATCTGTAAACTGAGGGGACAGACTTCTTAATCTCAAAGGCTCTTGCAGGTCCAGAATTTAAAATCAGATTTAAGAAACAGAGTGGTATTACTGGGAGATATTTTAGACCTCTTTCTCAGAATTAGAGCCAACACCAGTGTATTTATGATATGCCACTAAATCGACTGGTGACCCTACAGGGTACTGTAGCTGTCACTGGCCCCACTTCAGACAGGACAGTGAGGCACAGAGAACGTCAGTGGCAGAACCAAGGTGCGAACCCAGGCTGTTGGGCTCCAACGCCAGTATTGTCGGCCACTCGGCTGTACAACTGTCTACCTAGAGGACTCAATCCTATAAAATAACTATAAATATTACCATAATTAACAGTGATCATCTCCACACTACAGAGCCACAGAATCCACCAACACAGCCAAGCTTCAGAAGGGCCTGCCTGGCGTCCTTCACTCAGGGCCTGGGACCCAAACTCCAGTCACGCCCAGGTGGCAGGGGAGCCACATGGAGGAAGGCACTGACCAATCTGCCAAGTTTACTCATTTAACAAAAGCTCATTCTAGGGCATATTCTTCTTGAATATATTCTTTTTATTAACAGGGTCACGAATATATTCTTTAGTGAATATACTCTTCATCACAGGACATAAAGGGACATTTAACTTGTCAACTACAGGTCACATGACCTACAAGGCTGCACACAACTCTTGAAGGACACGCAGTGAGAAAAAGCTGGGGGCAGGGAGGAGCCCAGACAGCTCGGCCATTGCTGACCACTCTCAGGGGACCAAGGACAAGGCTCTGCAGTAAGGAGTGGGCCAGGGGGCCTCACTCCGGGCAGGGTGCTGATTTGGGCTCATTCTTCACAAAGTTGGAGGCTCTTTTTATTAAGGACATAAAGGGTATATGTCTTTTTTGGGGCATAATCTGCATTTAACAAATTTTTGTTTTGTTTCAATTTAAAGACACAAAAAAGGGAAATATCCATCTAAATAACTTTAAAAATACTGTAATCATATTTTATACAAACGCATACATTTTATCACTAATGGAGGCACTTAACCACTGTGATAATTAAAAATTTACAAAGAAGAAACTACAGAGGTTGGAAGTCCTAAAAAGTAAAGAAAATGATGCCAATGAAGGATATAAGGGATTTTGCCAACCTTGTGCATGAAATACTTAAGTCTTACATTTTAACTTAAGTCACTATTAAAGTACCCATGCACATTTCATAATACTGTAAAAGAAATGCAATTTCAAATTCTCCCCAGGGAATCTAGGACTATGAGCATGACTCTCTGCTACCATGTGTCACCCTGAGGGCAGGCACTGCCAGTCACTGCCAGGTTCTGCAGGACCAAGGCCTAGCACAGCTGGGCTGCAGAGGACTCCCGAGAATTTACAGTTGCCTGGTCAGGGAGGAGGATCTGCTTCCCTAAGTTGACAGGTGAAAGGAATTTTTAAAGAACATTACATCACTGCAAACTATCAGCAGAAGGCGTTAGGACAATCCGCCCTGGCCCTCAGTGTCCCTGTGTGTGCCTGCTGTGTCGGCCGAGGAGGTAAGGCCATGACTGCTCTTTACCAGGCTGGGCCATCCGAGCTGTTTGCCGTGCAGCCTTGAGGGCCGAGGCGAGTTCCTCCCAGGACAGAGTCAGCATGCTCACTGATGCTAAAGGTGGGTCCCTGGCTGGCACTCCGCAACAGGGGCACAAACCCCTCAGGTGCAGCACCATGTGGGCCCCTGGTGCCGCCCCATGGGACTCTGGGGGCAGGGAATGACACCCACTCGGATGCTCATACTGCTGGCTGTGCCAGAAGGTCCCTAGCCTCTGGCCCAGGAGCCGCAGTGAAACAGTAAGAGGCTGACTCATCAGCCGGGAAGCAGTGAAAGCCCAGAGCCCTCGGGCAGCTTACCGCAGAGTGCACGATGAACTCGCAGGTCTTCGTCAAGTCCTTGGCCAGCAGAGACCGTTTCATGTCACAGCGCAGGGTGTACTAGATGGAAAAGGCGGAGAGGAAAATGTCACTTTAGTGTAACTTGCTTTCATCTTGGAATTAGACTCAAGGGACAAGTCAGTATTTTAGGGAAACTTAGTCTAATTAATGTGCCTATGAAATCAATATACATAGTAGAGGGAATTAATGTTCACAAAGGCATGTCTATATTTAAAAAACACATTCCCACAGCCATACTGTGGCAGGAGCCACTGGAACAGGGGTGCAGGGTCCCACCCGCAGCACAGAGGAAGGCTGGAGTGGAGCAAAAGAAAGAGCAGGCACTGAGAACAGAAGCTAGTTCACATCCAGTTATTTGTCCTACAAACAGCACAACTTCTCTGAGCTTCAGCTTGCTGTTCTGTGAAATGGGGATCACCACCCACCTTCAGCGAGAACGAGGAGAGATACCGTGTGCTGAACACGGAGTACGGGCCTGGCACAGGGCTCTCGGACATGCAGCTCTTTTGTAGGAAGGGATAGAAACATGCAGCGAGGATGAGCAGCCCTGGAACAGCTCCAACACTTCAGGGACTAGTGAGCTGCTGCGCACTCACTGTCCCAGCAAGATCAGTGTCGCCCTGCTCGTGGGAGGGTGTGGTTCCCTGAAGAGAAGGTATGTGTAGGAACAATGAATAAAGCCCCGGGACTCTAGCTCTTTATATTTTAACCTGAAGGAAGAATAAAGAAGGGAAAGACTTTCTAAACTTTTATTTTGGAAATTTCAAACATCTACAAAAGTAAAGAGAAGAATGGAAGGAAGCCCCACATATCTATCAGCTTCCAGAGCTGTCAAGAATGATCAGCTCATGGCTGATGTTCCTGGACTGCTCTTCCCTGCAGCTTGCAAAGGATGCGGGCAGGAGAGGAATGGAGCCCGCTCTGGCAAATACATACTTGGGACATTCTTCATGCCAGGCTCTAACTAAGCACTTCAAGCCAAGACTTCATTAATCCCCTAGGAGGAAAAGTCACGAAGGCTGCTGGGGTCACAGAGGTGGGATCTGAATTTACACCTGCCCGTTGCCAAAATCCACGCTCTGAACCTTTACAATACTGTGGTTCGACGTCTGACTTGTCTGCTAAAAAGCCCTGGATCTTTTCACTTTATCATGATCTTTCCCAATTACTAAGGAGAGATCCAGGTGTTATGAGCTACAGGAGGTCAGAGGGGGTTAGACTTGAGCAGGACACCAAAAGAAGGTGCAATATTCAATCTTTTGGGGGGGCCAGGTATGGGGTAGAGAGGGTTAAAGGGGGGAAAAGGGGGACATCTGTAACACTATAAATAATAAAGATATATTTTAAAAGAAGATTCAAACTTTTTTGACTATCAGTAAACACATCAATAGGCAAGAAGAAAGATGCTTGTCTACAGACTGAAAGCAGACTCCTAGAATGGGTATTCTTTTTAAAATTTAATATGTTTTTATTGATTTCAGAGAGAGGAAGGGACAGGGAGAGAGAAACATCAATGATGAGTCACTGATTGGCTGTCTCCTGCATGTCCCCTATTGGGGATCTAGCCCAAAACCTGGGCATGTGTCCTGACCAGGAATCTGTGACTTCCTGGTTCATAGTTCAGTGCTCAACCAACCACTGTACCACACTGGCTGAGCTAGAATGGGTGGGGTTTTTTTAACATTTAAAAAAAAAATTTTTTTTTAAATATCTTTATTGATTTCAGAGAGAGGAAGGAAGAGAGAGAGAGAAAAACATCAAAGATGAGAGAGTCATTGATCGGCTGTTTCCTGCACACCTCCTACTGGGGATCGAGCCCGCAACCCGGGCATGTGCCCTGACCGGGAATCGAACCGCAATCTCCTGGATCCTAGGTCGATGCTCATCTGCTGAGCTAGGCCGGCCGGGCAGAATGGGTATTTTTAACTGTGAAAAAGGATGGCTAGAATCTCTGTGAATTAATTCTGAACACAGTTTCAGCAGACACGTTGGTACTGCTGTATTTTGTGCCACAGGATAAGCCTTGCTAGGGTGGTCACTAGAGATTCTTGTATGCACTACCTAACATAAAGGTGAGAGAGGAACACAGTGGGATGGAGGAGCAGAGTAAGAGCAAATACCATCAAGCCCTCCCCCTAAGAAGCAATAAGTAACCCAGCCCCTGCAGGCTGGGGGTTTAATACTGGCTACTTTTAAATCCTTTATTCTGTCTTATAATCTTTACTATTTTTACATTATGTTACTACAGCACAATTCAAATTTAAGTGTAAAATTTCTTTGTGCCTATATAATTTGAGAAAAATGTTATTAGAGTTGAACAACACTTTCTATCTAAAGCAATGCACCTGTGAATCGCCAGTTTGTGCAGCGAGCAATGGGCATGAGGAAGGGGGACATCTCTGGCCCTACGTGGAGGCTGCCTGTGTGACCAGTGGTCACTGTCCTCTCTGGGTGGCACTTGCTATCCTGTAAAACAAGGAGGCTAGAAAAAGACCCATCTAGAAACTGAAGGAATTAATTGGTGAATGAAAAAGAGATTAAAAACCCCATAATTCTAGTTTCTCTCAAGAAGTGTATTTTCCCAAAGGAGCAATGATGAACTTGAATATGAATTGGGAATTAGATGATATTTGAGAATTTTTGTTCACTTTGGTAACTGTAATTATTTGGGAGGATGTCCCCATTTTTGGAGATGGATATTTAAGTATTTCAAGATGAAGTGTTAACTAACTTTGAAATAATTCAGGAAAAATAAACCCAGATGAAAAAAAGATGGCAAAATACTAATAAATGTTGAGTCTTATAAATACAAGATTAAGAAGAAATCACTTTTAGAAATTTGTGAGACATTTGGGGAGGTACAGAATTCTGTGTTGTAGCACTCTAGGGTGTAAGAACTGGTGACCAAAATAAAGGGGAGCAGGGTGATTATTAGCCTAACTGAAGAATTTACCATGTTAACTCTCCTTCTGAATTCACCTAGTTTCCAATTACACACAGCTGTGCAGAAACACAGGCACACAGTTTTGTATCAAGATCTGAGTGTCTTTTTTGGCAGTATTAGGAAAAGAATGAAATTTCCAATTTTATTTTATTGTATTTTTTATTTTTTTTAAAAAAAAAATATCTTTATTGATTTCAGAGAGAGGAGAGGAGAGGAGAGGGAGAGAGAGAGATAGAAACATCAATGATGAGAGAGTCATTGATCGGCCGCAGCCTGCAAACCGGGCATGTGCCCTGACCGGGAATCGAACCCCGATCGCCTGGATCCTAGGTCGATGCTTAACCGCTGAGCCACGCCCGGCCGGGCCAATTTTATTTTAAACAAATCAATCCTTTAACAAGAATAATACACATAGGAGAAAGTAACAAGAAGTATGACCAGTGGAAATTTCATGTTACTCTACTCAGTTTCTAATGAACATATCCTTACATGATTAAATAAACAGTATTAAAGAGCTGTGTGGGGAAAGCAGGTTGATGCCGATTCAAGAAAGAGAACAAAAATAATTTGCAAAATGAAATAGTCATGATATTTTCAGTCTTGCTAAAAAGGCATTTTTCGTTTACTTTCTTTCATGGTGAAAGTATTCCCAAGCCAGAAAGCTGGCCAGAGGACTCATGTCTATAGACCAGCCATCTGGATGTCTATACAGGCAGCCTGTTTGAATCTAGACGCCCCTCCAATCATTACTGTTAATTCCTAGGGGTTTTCCAAAGCCTTTAGTATATAAACTGCCTAGAACAGATGCACCACTAACAACGGATGAGAAACATCTCTTCTTCACAGAACGGTATTTATTCCAAGAGAGCACACCGCAGACTGCATGTGCTGCTTCTCCACAGGTTCTTTAGGCAATTCACAAAACTCACATGCACTTTGGTTAGACTCACAAGTGTTTTGAGGATTTTTATTTTAAAACTGCTATATATTAAGCAGGAAAATGGTCTCTACCAAGACCGAATTATCAGCTAAAACTTTAATAATAAATCAAAAAACTCCTAACTTTCAGCCCTCTTGCACATGCATGAGACAAAATAGTGTCTGTTGTCTCATCTAGGAAGGGGGACCGCAGCAAGACACATCACAAAAGTACCTTTCTTCCCACTGAATGAAGGACAGGCTCGCTCGCTCTGAGTCATGCCTCCAAACTCGAGACAACAATGGCAACTGTGAAAGACATCCTGAACCAGGGGTGGACAGGAAGTCATAAATTCACTTCCTCCCATTTATAAGGTTTGTTCAATAGAGAATACAAGCCTATGTTAAAGTAGTAGCCTTTGGGTATTAAACAAAGAGATATTTATGCGTACAAAAACAGACAAGTTAGTGCAGTGCCAGAGAGAAGTGAGGGCATATCTATTACCAAACAATAAAAGCACCCTTCACAGTGTCAGTGTGGCCTGAACGGAGCTCAAAGGAACAAAGGAGTTTTGAAGCAGCAGCTACAGCATGGGTCCTCTAGGATTCCTATCAAAAAGAATGGCCGGACATAAAATGTGTTCCTCACGGCAAAATGAGAAATGAATATAGAACATACCTGGTAGGCCACGGAAATAAACCCAGTATTACAGTCTTGGGTCTGTCTACTAATTTTCAGGGAAAGGAAGGCCAGGCTGTTTTGCAGGAGAAAGATGAAGTTGACTGCATGGGACTAGGAAACTCACCTGGATGTTGACAAACACGCCGTGGTAGGTCTCGTACAAAACTTTGTTCCCCTTCACGTGCAGAGGGAATTCAAAGGGAATTTCGGTTTTGCCGCTGGGGAACTTTCCTGGCTTCACCATTTCAATGGTGCTGTTGATAATCTGGATGGGCTGTAAAGAGAAATCCACTCATGCGCGGCTGGGCGTGGCTGGGCATTGACCTAGGATCCAGGAGATCATGGTTTGATTCGGGGTCAGGGCACATGCCCAGGCTGCGGGCTCAATCCCCAGTTGGGGGCGTGCAGGAGGCAGCTGATCCACGACTCTCTCATCACTGATGTTTCTCTCTCTCTCCCTCTCCCTTCCTCTCTCTGAAATCAATAAAGACATATTTAAAAAAATAATAAAATAAATGGATTTGGTGTTTACCACCATATATTTAAAAAAAAAGAAATCCACTCAGTCCAGCACATGAACTTTCTGAGCACCTTCCAGTCTTGGTGTCTCTCATTCAGCTGAGAGACACAGCCCGAGCCCTCGATGCCACCGTCCTGGCATCCAGGCAGCACAGTGCTGCGACTAGAGATGAGCAGAGTCAGTTCAAGTCTTTGGCACAACAATGGTTTGTGTACAGGACACTCAGGTGTTTCATGCACAGGAGGAAATGAACCGCTACTCCCCTCTCCTCCCCCAAATCTCTCAGTTAACCACCCTAAGAACCCTCCTGGCAGGCACCGTCTTCAGGATGCAGCAGCAGAAGCGGCACAGTTGGGGATTTGTCAGAGGGCTGCCATCTGCGCCCAGGGCTCATCCTGCCCAGCCTGTGCGCCACAGTCAACCAGACTCCTCAGGGCCTTCAGCCACCGGCCATGTGGGAGGAGCAGGGCCTTGCCTGAGCCCTGTGCTCCTGTGCAAGGCTTCCAGGGGGACTCGGGTACTAACGTTTAGAGCCTGCCTAAAGGCAGGTATGACACCTTAACCAGCTAAGATATTCTAAGCTTTGGTTTGGAATCACTTTGAGAAAATCCACAACTTTTGAAGTGAATTTCTAAGAGCTACTGAAGGAAAATAAGAAAATTGTAGAAAACATGGGAAGGCCCTGAATGGGAATACAGTTAGTGAGCCCTTCTTTCCTCTTAACTTTTCCCCTCACAACTGAAGGAGTTAATATATCCCTCAGGAAAAGGACACCATAAATACAGAAAAGGAGTTTACACTCCGTTATATAGAATTCCACCCTAAATGACACAGAAACAGCCACTGCTCTTACCTGAATGCCAAATCCAACAGCAGCCATAACAGTTAATGTGCAGTTTTGTTTGAGGAAGATGAGGGCCAGAATTCACAGCACAGCTTCCCAGAAGAGCTCTGGCTTTGTCATGGCTGGGTCAGAATTTATAGTTCTCCTGTCCTATCTAATAGGAACAAAAGCCAGCGGGCTTCCAAGAACAGGATCTATTCAGAATCAACATATCTATTTTTCCAGTTTGATTAGTAAGTATTAAAAGTGTAACTATCACTACATTACTTGCCAGATAACCACAAGCACTCGAATAGTGAGCTAATAATGTGCAACCTGAGCATTCTTACCTTCACCGAGTTGTAGAAAGCTTCGAACACACCCACACTCTTGGCACTGAGCTGGAGGTTCACGGTTCCTTCCACGGTCAGAGAGACGCCCTGGTGCTGGACAGAATCCTTCCCGCATATGACCACCACACCCGAGAGCATTTCCTAGGAGAGGAGGCAGTCACCAGTCAAATGAGGTGGTCTCTTCATTCACCTTATTTATGAGCAAAAGCCAGCCTCCTTCACAATCAATTTGTCTGAAGATGCAGACATTCACTCAGCACTTATTACAGACCAGGCACCTGTAATAAGGAGGCCAGGGTGAGAAGGAAGGGCCTCGGGTGGGGTGGGGGTGGGTACTGATAATTACAGGGCAGGCTGGATACACACTGATGGGTAAGGAGTCTCATCCCATCTCAGCCTTCCACACATCATTCCAGGCTGGGAGAGTCCCAGCAAATGTCTGGATTCAAAAGGGCAGAGGAGGGCCTGGGGTGAATGGTAGAGTCCTGGCCACATGAATGGAGGCGATCTCTTCAGAAGGAATGCAATAAAATAAAACCCTTGTCTTGAGGTTCTCTCTCCAGTATGCTGAGGAAAGTGACTGCACTTTTCACATGTATGAGTAATGAACACAACTGTTAGCCCAGGGATCCCGCTGGAGAGGTCTAGAGGTTGGGAATACAGCATGGGAAGGCAACGCAGCCTTTGCACTGAAGAACTTCCTGGCCCACCCACGTCCTGGTTCATCTGGCCAACGTTCAAGTCCAGATGTCCCTGGTTCACAAATCATTTAAGATCATCTATTCATTTATCTGAAGATAATTACTAAGTAAGATGATATGGACATTAACTACATTCTTTCTTGGATGGCAGTTTCTTCCTGTCATCACAGAACTTGATAGTTTCAATTTGCTACGGGGTGGGGTGGGGGCATGGAGAGGAAAAGGAAGTTAAGGAGATTAAATAGCAGAAAGAGATTCTACAATAAATACAAAACAATGAGTTTCTTAAATGACCTTCAGAAACGTGGCATGACTGTTGCCAAATGGTAGAAAATTGTTAACAAGACCCAAAAAAAGAGGTAAAATATCAAAAATTTAAAAATGACCTGTAGATCAAAGCATTAAAAAAAAATTAAAAAATCTGTCCTATTGGTGTTTAAATCTGTTTACTCTTTATTTCCTCTAGTCATCTACTGAAAAAACACAATGAGTCCTTCCCTTAGGTGGAACTCTGGGGACCGGGCCTCAGTGCCTGCCACTGCTGCAGAGCATTAAATGTGGGAAGTATTTTGTCTTCCCCACCTCTATTCCAAAGCCTGAAGTCTGAATTCAAACAAACACTATCATCTCCATTTTATGCAGAATCCCAGGAGTACAAGTCCTTTTGTTCTTAAGGTAAAAAGCTCATCAGCGAATTTAAATGAAAATTCCTCTGAAATAACTTTTCTATTTAATTAAAATTAATTCTATTAATTTTTGTACAACCCAAATGGAACAGAAATCTAATTTTAAAAAATTTAATCCACCAGTATATTTTTAAAAATACACTTCATTTATTCCCCAAAATAAAATGAGATAAAATAACTTCATAAATGTTGTCAGTTAAACAAAACAGTAGCACTTGAGAAAAGTTCAGCTTCTATTTAATCAGAACATTTTCAGTTAGTCCCCTGGGACCAGATCTGGGCTGACCACTGGCTGGCATGTGATAATCAGGATGTCGGTAGAACCTTCCCTTCCTTGATCCCTACTACATAAGAAGGAAAAAGCAGTGAAGTACCTTGGAAGTAAGCAGAGTAAATATTTTATGACCCAAGGGACTCTTTTGTCATTCTTTGATTTTAATTAAGAAAGAATATAGTGGAGAGAATACAAAATTAATAAAGTATTTGTAGATAAATTAGACATTCTAACAATATACAGGCCTATTCAACTCCTACCAACAAAAGGAGGGCATAGAATTAGTCCAAACAAAGCCCAAGGAGTCAAGAATTTTTGGAACAGAAGATATCTCAAGTTAAGACTCATGGTAATGAGAAAACCATCTCTGTGCTTGTTTTATTTTTTAAATTGAGCTATAACTGATATGTGACATTGTGTTAGTTTTAGGTATACGAGACAATTCTTGATTAATCCTGGCAAAGGATAGAATGAACTTGAATAATTAAAATTTAAGGGAGCCCGGCCAGCGTGGCTCAACGGTTGAGCATCAACCTAGGATCCAGGAGATCGCGGTTCAGTTCCCGGTCAGGGCACATGCCCGGTTGCAGGCTTGATCCCCAGCAGGGGTGTGCAGGAGGCAGCCAATCAATGATTCTCATCATTGATGTTTCAATTTTCTCCCTCTCCTTCTCCCTTCCTCTCTCTGCAATCAATAAAGATGTATTAAAAAAGAAGAAATTAAGGGAAACCCCGGATGTCACAGAGAACTTACTGCGCACTCTTGACAAGGAGAAAACAAGGTTATGGCTCTGGATACTGCCTATACCTCACCCAGCATAATAATCGGAGGTTCATCAACTGAGGGCCATGACTTGAAAGAGAGGCCACACACAGACTTATGGATGGCAATGAACCCCAGAAATGATGTACAAAATCATGCACATGTGTGATATTTTTTAGGGAGAAGAGCCATAGCTTTTGGCCTGTTACCAAGGAGGCCCTTGATCTGAAAGGTTAAGAAACACAGATGAGCCCAGCTGGCTTGGCTCAGCTGTGGGGCATCAACCTACGATCAAGAAGATCTCGATTCAATTCCCAGTGAGGGCACATGCCTGGGTTGTGGGCTTGATCCCCAGCAGGGGGCATGCAGGAGGCAGCCGATTAATGATTCTCATCATTGGTGTTTCTAGCTCTCTCCCCCTCTCCCTTCCTCTCTCTGAAATCAATAAAAATATATTTTAAAAAAACAACAACACAGATGAGAGATGCAGGCGCTACACTTATGTGCGTGTGACAGCTGTGTGCATGGCAGCACACAAAGTAACAGAAGGGAGAGGGACAGAGATATAGAAACATCAATGATGAGAGAGTCATTGATCGGCTGCCTCCTGCACACCCCCTGCTGGGGATCCCAGTCTGTGCTTTCCACTGCACATCTTGACCCTTAACAGGGCCTTGGCCCTGTGCTATCCGTCAGTGTGGGTCACCAAGACATCTGGGATCCCACCAGCACTGTGAAATCTTACCCCTCTGGCAAGGTGATGCATTTAAGGGAACCATACCACATGGAGCCTGCTGCAAATCAGCCGAAGTCTGTCCTGAAGGAGCCAAGTCTAGAGAAAGGCCCCAATCAGCCATCTTCAACCATAAACCAAAAGATAGGCTGGGAACAAGGCGTTCAGAGGCTACTGGTCGCGCCTGGCCTTCACAGCCACACTGCTTTCTCAGCAGAAACCACTACCCTAAGGGTGGTAAAAGGGAGGCCTTTTCTAACTTTGTCTTCTCTAAATGTAAAAGGCCACTATCAAACTGCACACATTTTTTCTTTCTTGTTCTCAGGAATTAAATACCAAACCCATAATTAGGACTCTGGGTTTGAAGATGGTGACATCAAGTCAGCATCCCCCCAGCTTCCTGGAAATCACCCAAAAGGATCAGAAACAAAACCACAAACTCCATTTTTGGTGAAGCAAGGAGACAGTTAAATGCAATGAAATAGGTGGAAGAGCTGCTAAAAAGAGTGAAGACCAAAGATTAGGGGGCACATGCAGTAAAAAGCCCATACACAGCCCCATGGCTGTAGAAATTTGCTTCTCAAAGGCAAGGGCACACTGGGGGAACGGATCAGCTTCTAAGGAGCAGAGGAGGCAGAGCCCAATGAGGAATCCTACAGATGCGCCCAGGCAGGAAGCAGGAAGCAGTTTTCCGTCTCTGCAGCAGTGGGAGGCACTGAGGCCCTTTGCACAGTGAGAACCTCCCCAGCTGCTTATCTCACAGGCACAAGAAAAGTAGAGGTTAAAGGAAATCACACAGAACCTCAGTCAGCTTGGTCTAGGAATAAATTCATTTCCTACAAGAAGGTGATATTAAAAAAACCAGCAGAGCCCTGTACGGTTAACTCAGTTGGCTCGAGTGTTATCCAGAGATGCCAAGGTTCTGGGTTTGATCCCCAGTCAGGGCACATACAAGAATCAATCAATAAATGGGTAAATAAGTGGAATAACATATCAGTGTTTCTCTCTCCCTTCCTCTCCCTCTAAAGATTAAAAAAAAGAACCAGCACAGAAGCACAGGACATGTAATGGATTTGGGGGGGAATCCACGTGGCTGAGGACGCATACACAAGAGACCGGCAAGTCACTTCTACTTAAAGGAACTCTACAGAGGCTCCCATCTCACTGAGTAAATAAAGCCAAGTCCATTCCGATGGCCTACAAAGGAGGCTGTGCCCCTCGTCCCGATGGGTCTGACCTCTACTCTTAACACTCTCCCACATCACTCAGGCTCACCCCCACTGGTGCCCTTGCAAATCCTTTAACCTGCCTGCACATTCCAGCCGCAGGGCATTTGCACATGCTCTTCCCTCCACCTGGATGCTCATCCTCCAGACACCCACAAGGCTTGTGACAAACATTCTCTCCTTGACCAAACTCTACTCAGCCTCCTCTGAGCTCTTTCAACTAGGCCTTGATCTTTTTATTTCCTTGTTCATTTCTTCATCATCCAATTTCAGCAAGACCTGTCAGTCAGTTCAGCCATCCCCCATGTCTGATCGCCTCCGCCTGGGTTCCGCATCCACCAGCCCCAAATGATGTCTGTTCACACTGGCCTGCCTTCAGCAAGTCCAGCTAGGTCAGTTTAGCCAGAAGCCCTCATACCCCTAATGCTTCCCCTCAATAATTTTCCACCCGCTGACACCCACCCTGCTCCTTGGCTATCAGTTCCCACTTGCCCATGCTCTACTCCAAGTGGAGCCCAATCTCTTCCCAGCTGCAAGACCCCATGCAGTGGTCCCTACGCCTATCACAAGAGTTTCCCCTTAAATAAAGTCTGCCTTACTGTCTTTAACAAGTGTCATGAATAATTTTTTTCTTTAACACTTGCACCCTTATCTCCATCAATGAAGTCATTGCTCAGGTGACACCGTTTTAGTGAGGCTTCCTCGACCATCCCTCCCCAACACTAGCTTACCAGGCATCCATGATTGCTCTGTAGCAC